TAGGAACTGTGATTTTGTTAAGGGCTCTGTAATCCCCACAGAATCTCCACCCTCCGTCTTTCTTTTTGGCTAAGAGTATTGGGCTACTATAGGGACTGGTGCTGTGCTGAATGATTCCAGATTGCATCATCTCTTGCACAATCTTTTCTATTTCTGCCTTTTGATAATGTGGATATCTATATGGTCTAATATTTGGTATCGTAGCACCCTCTTGTATATTGATAACATGGTCACAGTCCCGGCTAGGAGGTAGTCCTTGCAAAGGTTTTGATATTTCTGGAAATTCTGCAACAATTTTATCCCAATTTGTGTCCAGGTCTGCTCCTTTCTTCTCCTTGTCTACCTCCCCTTCACAATAGACAAAATACCCATCTCCATTGTCTTGGATGATCTGTGATAGAGTCTTTAATGAAACCTCCATGGAATTCAGTTTTGGTTCCCCTTCAATAGCTTTGTCCACACCTTGCTGCTTCCATTTAATTGTTTGCTTTTGGAAGTTTATTTCCACATCACCTAAACTGGTGAGCCATTCCAACCCCAGAACCATATCAGTTCCTCCCAAACTGAGTATATAAAAGTTCTGCGTGATATCAGTACCCTGCAAGCTCAAAATCAACTGCTCACATCTTCCATTATTCCTTATCTTTTCCCCATTCCCAATTTGTACTTGATATCCTGCTATTGTTGTGAAAGGTAGGTCCAACTGTTCCACTAATTTCTGTGAAATGAAATTATGTGTGGCCCCACTATCAATCAAGATTTCTACCTGTTGATCTCCTTTATTCCATTTCAGGTTCCCTGTCACTTTAAAAGCTCTCATGGTAGGTATCCCCTCCTTACTCATGAGAGATAACTGTAGAGATTTCGACTCCATTTCTTCTTCCATTTCTTCTTCTGAAATCACAGGTTCCACTCTATCTAAATCCCCTTCATCTTCTGAATCTTCCACCAACATTAACTTGTAGTTTTTCAACTTACAAGTGTGCTCTTTATTCCATTTATCTCCGCATTTAAAACACAGACCTCTCCTACTCCTTTCCTGATATTCTTCATGAGTTAATTGGGGTCCCACTTTCTTTATTCCAGAAGGATGTATTTCTGTGAATTTCTTTCCCATAGCAGTGAAACCCCTAGGATTGCTACTGCCTTCCCCTGCACCTTTTCCCATGTGACCATATCCAGAACTTCCAACTTTATTTTTATAGCTGTCACCCCAATATTGATGTTTGGCAGTAGTATTTTCCTTTTCCTTCATTCCACTTTTGTCTTCCTCTTTCTTTTTGCCTTGAACTATAACATTCTTGTCCTCTATCCATGTAGCCCTATCCATGATTTCAGATAAGGATCTTGAAGTATGCAATTTCAACTCTGCCTGGATTTCTTCCTTTAAACCTTTTATGAAGACTCCTCTCAACAGTTCTCAGTCCATGTTCTTCTGATGTGAAATTACCTTCTCAAATTGTACTCGGTAAGCCTCAACTGATCCTGTTTGCTTCAAACTCAGCATAGGACCATAAGGATTCTGAGTTAATTCAGGTTGGAACCTGCGGACAACCGACTTCTTCAATGTTTCCCAGTCAGTTTCTTCTGTCTGATTTTCCCAAACATTAAACCAGTTTAATGCCTTATCCTCCATCGCCACCATAGCTGCTTCTACTTTTTCCTCTTCCTCAATATTATTCAACCTGAAGTATCTTTCCATACGAATTATCCAATTGTAGGCATCAATTCCATTGAACAGAGGTAAATCGATTTTTCTACCAAATTGAGCAGATACACGCCGATGGTAAGTCGTATGAGAATGAACAGAAATACCTCTCGAGCTGGTAGGACTGCTCGATTCTGGAGATCGTTGATGATGCCTGGATCGCGTTTGCCTAGATCGTGTTCTCCTCTTATCGTTTGATCCATTCATCGCGTCCAACCTTTCCGATAAAGCCGCGATTGCCGTCTGAACCTGCGACAAAGTCTCCTGCGTCGCTATATGGTTGCGTTCCATCGTTGCATGATTTCTTTCCATCGCCATGTGATTACGTTCCACAATTTCCAATCTCTGTTCCATTTTGGCTCTGGTACGAACCATTCACCCAATAAGGCGGAAAAAATTTCTGGTAATCTTCAACGTCAACTTAGGTCACCAGAATGATGCTCTGATACCAATGATAAAACACTGGTAGTAATTCGATTCAGAACAATTGAAACAATCAAAGAAACTAGTTCAAGAACAATTTGCAGAATCTGTCTTATTGAACAAGAAATGAATTCAAAGAAGGAATACAAGCAATAGGAAATTTCGAGCTGCCAAAACTCCCACACCAATCCCAATTAACAAACAACCTACCTATCCCCGGCTGATTATTTCTATTTATACTCATAGTCCACGCAGGGACATAACTGGACCCACATAACAGCAAGTCTAACTAACTAACTGTTTTATACTTCCTCCTTTGATAGACCTTTCTAAAGAATTTATCGGGCTGCTGCTCCTTGTCTCTATCAATATAATACTACGGAGTATTAGGAATAATATTTAAGGAATTATTTTAATAAATGATTTAATGGAAGGAGGATTTACTTTTCCGGGGAAGTGTCCCCATCTAAAAGATCACATTTTTATTTCTTGGTTATAAAATCTACTTGCTGCTTGCTGATAAATTTGATATTTTTCAATACAATATGTATCATAAAAATGAAGATTAAATAATTTTCTCTACCCCAATGATTCTATGAGCAACTCCAATGTAACAATGTCAACAACGCATATGTGACATAAGAAAATAAGAAATACAGAGTCATAAAATTTAATGAATGAAATTTTAGGTGCCGTTTGGTAACACCATTTTTCGGCTTATCAGGCTTATCAACCAACTTTTTCACCAAACACGTAATTTTTGTTTTAGGGCGCTGAATTGTGTAATAAGCAGAAAAAGTAAGGTTGAAGTTACTTTTCTAGCTGTATTGCCTGAAGTTACTGTAGATGACCATTTTAGCTATTTTTACATATACTTTTTTCTTTATTTTATTTATAAAATATATTTTCAAAATAATTTTTTCTTAAATCAGCAGAATCAGCCAATGCAGCCACTTCAGCCAGAACTTCAGAAATTTTAGCAGAATCAGCCAAACCAGCCGATTTTCGTGCTACCAAACGGGCTCTTAATTACTCCGTAATTAAAATTCTATATTTTTAATTACTCCGTAATTTTTGACATTGTCAATAATTTCAAACACAATATGTACGTTTAGAAATTTTACTTAATATTGTAGACAAAGAATTATTAAAAATTAACACGAATAAGATTGTTCAAATAAGATATACTCCATACTTCCTATTAAGTAATTACTTCAATTCGTACTACCAATCTTTCTTGTTTCTCACCTTACATATGCATAGTTGACATTGTTAAATTGGAGGTGCTCACAGAATTATAAGGTAGAAAAAAATATTTGAACTTCATTTTTATGGTACTTATTGTATTGAAAAATATCAAATTTATTTGACATATTGGCGTTTTCCGTCTAAAATTCTTTGAGATGCTATCATACGTTAGCAATCACTCTCTTTATTAGTATTATAAAGTTCGTGAATAATACAATAATACAAAAGTTCGTGTATAATACGGTGCAATTATATATAATATAACTAAATATACATTTCATACATTTGTGAAATGAATAAACATACAAACATGTTTTAAACGTTTCACAATTTAAAAATACAACATATTATTTGTGTCTTATATACTCCCCCCATTTCTAAATAGAAATAGAGGGAGTACTAATTAACTGAATGATAGAAATAAAGAATGATTTAACATACACAACATTCTTTAAGAGTTTAAAATGTACGAAATATTTTTTTTAGATATACGAATTTGAATTCATAGGCAATAAGTAATAAAATGACATTGCCTATTTGAGTAGAAGTAAAGAGATATTACTAGAAAATAGTAGATATTATTGTGGCCGAGAATTTGGTGAGCCACCGCAATATTCTTTTATCTTTGGAGTCTTGATATAGGTGAAACACAAGAGTAATACAATAGTAATATCGAAACACGAATTATGACTTTAAGGAACTGATTTATTAAATATAATGATTATTAAACAATTAACATAATACGTTTTTAAGCAGTATAAATAGTATGGACCGACTAGACATTACCACTCCATTGTGTGAGAATAATGATGTTTTTTTTAATAAAATACATATCAACATGTATGATGTGTATATTACGTACTCCTTATTTTATTCTTAAAGTACATGAATTTTTAAAATTTTCTTGTTTGACTGTTTTTGGCTAATTTGACCATCTTTTAGTTGTTTGACCACATTAATTAGCCATATTTTAACGTTTAGCAAATGGCCGTTCACTTAATTTTCCACTTTTCCTACACTACCCACGGGCCACAACATCGGCTACACTATTGAGAGCAAATTCCTATTAAAGTTCTTTCATTTCACGGAGTAGATTTTAAGCATGCAAGATGCAGGGAGTTTGTTTTATACGATGATTATATAATGCTGCAAAGAATTACGTAGTGTCACTTGCGTTGAATACGAATTATTTATTTTTTATCAAATAAACATTGTTTAACTAGTTGACATTTGTACACATAAAATTAATCAACTAAAAGGATGACACCCCATCCCTGAGGACCCCCCAACACCGACCGGACGACACGATGAGAGGATGTAAATTGGACTATAATCACAATCTGACAGATAGAGAGTGATGATCTTTCCCCGGTACTTGCAAAAGTCCTATGCATTTTTCAGCATAGTAATCTCTCATCGTAATTGCCGGGATTCGAATCCGAGACTTAACCCTTGTGGTACTCACTCGCTACCACTTGAGCTACGAGTACTGGTATAAAATTAATTAACTAAATGTATGATACGTAAGTAGTATATAAAATTCGTAGCGAGTAAAATAAATACGGAGTACTCCGTATTAAATACGATGTCCTTTTTTTTTTTGAAATAAAATATGATGTCCCTAAAAGTCAAGTCATTTAGCCCCGTATCCAGAAAGGCCTTCGCGGTTTGCTCTCGTCTCTACCCTCCAAAACTTTCGTAACTCTTCGCCGAGTGTGGAAGAAAAGAGACGCCAATGGATGAAGATCGGCCTCATAAACTAGCCCGAGCTATACTCGCCACTTTGATCGGAGTACTGCTGACGCTGAGTAATTCTGAAAGAGCCCTGGCGTCCAAATCTCCATCAGCTTTCGTTCAGAACGTCATTTACTCCAATAAAATCGCCATCTTCTCCAAATCTTATTGTCCGTAAGCCTCTCATTTATCCATTTTTTCAACGTGTAGTGCCGTTCCATACGGTGGTACCAAATTTAGTACTTCGGTGGCTGGAGATGTTTTATATTGGCGATTGGACATGTAGTTCATGTTTTTTAATGACTTAGTCAAATCGGAGTTCAATTTCTATGCTTTTTCACATGCAAATATTAGTTTGGAAATGGTATTCCATTCTTACTTTTATGATTTGTCATCATCAAAAAGTAATACTCACACAGCTGCACTAGTCGTTCAATTTTTCTTAAAAGAAATGCACTGTATAACGAATTAATTGAAACACGCATTACTAGCACACCTCTTTTAGATGGAAAACTAACACAAATATCATTAAACAATCTGTTAGTACTCTGAATGAGTGTATAACTTTCCCAACGTTAGACTGTAGCTATGGAAGTACTGGTTTTAAACCCTAATTCATGAAGTGTTGGGCTTTCTTAGAAATACATGCATGTGCCCACTGTTTTGTGACCTTACAGATCATTTAAACCTTCACGGAATGCAATGCCAGCAAGGCGATACATTACAGCCTGAATGACTGTATTTTGTTACTCCGTACATTTTAGTATCCTAGACTTCTAAACTTTGGCAGTCTACAGTTAAATGTAATGAGAATTAGTGGATATGAAAAGCTCATCCTCTAGAGTTGAGGCTGTTAAATGTCATGAGTCTGGGCTATGGGAATAACTGAATAAATTCATCATTCCCAATAACCTTCAAGACTTCACCTTGTCAAAACCTTATGGTTAAGCTTGGAATTGTATGACACTCCTTCTGACCCGCTAATTTTGGGACAAAAGGATGTGAATTTTTTTTAGAAAAAAGTGGAGTTTTGGGGCTAATGCAAATTTGTATAGTATAAGTGATCGTGATTCAAAAAATGTATGACCATATATGGTATTGGTCATATAGTTGGGATGGACCAAAGGGGAAAGAGGATACAAATATAGTAGGTTGGAAGGGGAATGTTAATGAAGTTAAAGCCCTATTTACTTGGTTAGCAAGTAAGTTGGTTTGTAATCTATTGCTCCCTACATTATATATATTAGAAATATTAACTGAAAAAGAAGAGTAACAGTAGACTAATAATAATAACAATGATAATGATACTAGGAAATTAACTGATAATAATAGGTTCATATCATGAAAGAATTAAGCTTGCTGACTATCTTCTTGCTTCATGAACCATGATGCTGTGGGAGCGAATATTCAGCAAGGCTACCTTGTAGTGTCTTTATAGTATTGAATGCATATGTTTTTCTTTGTTGTTAAGATTCACAAGGATATATATAAATCTCAAAGACCAAAAATCTTTTTAAAGGCTGTATGACACAGCTAAAATCAAAGAGGTGTCAAAAATGAGCTCTGTATTTAGTACTGAAGTTGTTGAAAAGATAAAAATTATGATGGCGCATTGTTCAAATCTATTATGTGATGCTAGACAAACTCATGGCTAGGGAAACTTGATCTTGAAAGGTGCAAAAAAAAATTAAGATTGTAATCTAATCTTTGGTCTTTCTCTTTTTTAAAAGGTATTCCATGCGTGCCAAGCACATATTTCATGAACTAAAGGAGTTGCCTTTTGTTGTGGAGCTGGATCTTCGAGGTAATTCATTCTTTTTTCCCTTCCTCTGCTATTAAATGTGTCGATTAATACAAGGCGATGGACTTTCATCTGCCAGACTCTCACTGAATTTAGTGATGTTATGGTGACATACTACACTGAATTACATATGTACTTTCACTTGTCACTGAATTTTCTTTTCCCAGTGTTGTCTGTCCAATGTAGATCTGAAGTGTTTAAATACAGACACTTTCACCAATAGAACAGCAGCTATAAAACTAAAACATCTAGTACTTTAGTTGTCTTTATTGTTATTCTTTTATTATTGTGCTTCTGTATGACAGTTGAATAAACAGGCATATTGATGAAAATCATGTTCAAACTGGTAAAATGGGTTAATAAATCAACACATTTAAACAAATTAAACATGATAGACACTTCTAATAGTTAAAAAAATAAAGGCATTGACTCATTGTAACCACTGAGAGTGTGATTAAAGACCCAAAAAATGTGAATAGGCTCCTCAGTGCCTGCATACAATTGCCAGATATCTGTGGCTAAAATATGAAAGATCGTAGTAACAGAGACTGTAGAACAAAACTACTACCAACTTGACATATATTATATTACTAGTAGTGATGGTTTTATTGGACAGATGATGGGACCCACATTCAAGATGTCCTTCTAGATCTGGTGGGCCACAGAACAGTCCCGCAAATATTTGTGAACGGGAAACATGTTGGTGGATCTGATGGTAAAGCTTCAAAAGTTTAATTACATATCTACTTTACTTGCTTCGGTTAACTGTCTAATGTTTATACTAATTTAACCCCCTCCCTTCATCGGCTTGTGATAATTTAGATCTCTATAATGCGGTTGAAAATGGACAACTGAAATCACTCCTAAGCAAAGAATGATCCTGAATGACATGATGGTTTGCTAGAGTTACAAATTCAATTGCTGGATGGCCAAACTAAATTTTGCCAGAAAGACTGTTAAAGCTACCACTGAATATTGATGTCAATATATGGTAGTTGTGACTTGTGAGGTTGGATGTATAATTTTTCTAAAACAGCAACCATTAGCAATATACTACGTAGTACTAATTTGTATTTGAGACAATCATTTCAAAGTGGTGCCTATCATAATATTGCTTGTTACAGTCCTCTATTTGATATGAACCAGAACTAGAATCTTATTAATAACAGTACGTGCGTGTTTGGAACCTCACTGACCGTTGTAGCGGTGTAACCGTTGGATTTATGAAGTTCTAACACAGTGGATTAAACATTTTCAGTGAAGAAACTCATTTATAACATTCATCATTAGTAGCTAAATAAGCAAGTCAAATGTTACTTCTTCCATTTATTCAGATTAATCGGATGTCTCGGTACTCTGCGTTTTGGAGTGATCGAATCATTCGAGCATAAATTGGACTGGTAAAATAATTGAAGTGGCACGTGCATTGTTTCATGTTGGCACTCTCCCAAAACTATTGCAAACCAATTCTGGTTCTTCCAAACTTGGACCCGAACTCACTGATTCCTGAGTATTTTTATATATAATCTAAAAATCTGGAATTTCTCTGGATTCAACTTCATTTTATAATACAGGGGTGTGCATGATTAACTATAGAGAGGGTTTGATGCATTCTATGAATCAGGTTGAGTAATGCGCAAAATTTATATACCACAAGGAAGGGGCGGAGCTACTGGGGGGTCAGGGTGGTCATCCGACCCCGCTGAAAATTTAAGAGCGTAGAGTTTTGAAATATCTTCGATTTGATATATTATGGCTCTCGTAACTCATTACGAGTAAAAAATTATGACTTCTGCAAAATCAACACTATTTAAGTTTGAAATTAGTAAAATTGTGATGCGTAATATTAATTATATTCACAAAATAGCGTGTAATTCACTTGTTACTTACGTGACATGACTTAGGGACAGAGCAAAGACAACATATCTAACTGCTACGAGTGCCTACTCAATAAATGATTCTTTTCTAGTAAGAAATCTTGATACTAAACCGAGTAAGATCGAAAAGAACCATAGAGTACTAGGGTAAGACAATGAGTCTCATCCGAGGTGCTCAACTCAACCCGTATAAAACAAGTTTATAATATATGTGACATATACGGAGTATATTAACTACATATACTCTATTAGTTTCATTTAAATTATCATTTATCTAAGCTACATTCAATTCGGGTATTGTCTAAAAATAATCTACCGTTTTGATTCAATATAAATTTGATTTCGACCTCGCTGAGTCATTTTTCTGGCTCCGCCCCTGCCACAAGGGGTGTGGGCACATCAAACCCTACAAGATTCTCCACCTAAGATGATTAACAATAACACATCCACTGTGATTTTATGAAATGGCAATAGCTTTTTCGGGATGGGGCAAAAAATAGTCAATTACATGCTTCTACCCTCACAAAAGTTACCGATTCGATAGTAGACTATATATGATGCTTTGAAATACTCCATAAATGAAAGCATTAGGTTGAAGATGCAGCATATGTTTCAGGTCGCCACTCCGTTTTCTCAGCGCTAAGCATTCCATCTTGTTTTTGATAAAAGGTCATCCGTACCTCCCAATGCAAAGACTTGAGTATGTTTTCTACTTCCTTTATTGTTCCCGAGTCATCTTGCATTATAAATTTCCCTCCAGGTCTAACTATTCTGTCCACCTCAGCCATTACAGCAGATATCTTGCACCTGCAGTATATTATTGGACTTTTTTCATTTAGCAATTTCAATAATTAATATTTTCTCCATATGCTAATTTCCCCCCAAGGGTAACTAAGAATATCAAGTCGATGATATCTGATTTGAATATGAGAAAATAAGTAATACTCCGTGTGTAGTAGGGCCCGGACCAATCTATAAAAACGGTTTTGGTTCGTCCAACACAGGACTTGAGTAGACTAAATCTTGTTTTGATTTTTTTTGCTTAAATTAGTTAAATAAGTGACAATTCGACACAAAATCGGATTTAATTAAAACCAAATTTATGGTATATAAAATACGCAGTATATGGGATGCAAAGTATATGGTATATACGAAACTAAGAAACTGATATACGTACTCTAGTTTAATGTGTGTGAATTCCTAGTGTTTTGAATGTATACCTCAATTTGAGCTTAGAGAAGAGATGATCAGCATGGAGGAGATCATATGTTCTTGGGTATGTGTTGAAGGATTCACACCAGTCGTGGTATATTCCAAAGAGGCCACGCTCATATATGATTGGAAGTGTGTCTGGTGAGTCCACATTTACCACATTCATTACCCACACTTTCAAGTCCTTCAGTGCCGCAGCAAATCTGTAAAACATGCATGAATACAATGCAAGATGAATCTTCTATTAGGGCAGGCCTGATAGGAACCGCAGTCTGGCTACCTCCAAATTTCATCTTAAAACTATCGGGAAGTCAGTTAAATAAATTATTAAAAAAACACTACGTTTTTATATATTTTTTGATGCAGTGTTTTTCAATAATTTATTTAACTGACTGTCTGATTGAATATTAAGCTGAAATTTGGCGGACACAATCTACACTTCATGAAGAATATGCTCACAAAATTTTATCAAAAAGTTGTACACGAAAACAACTCAAATGGTGATAGCCGGTCAGGACATCCCGACAAGACTATACAATGCAAATATGTAAGACACACTTAACTTTGTTAGTCATATACTCCGTATGTAGTATTAGAAATTCATGAATGTTTTAGTCATATATATAAAAGTCTCCCAAATATAAACTTATAATGTGTTAAGTCCTTGAGAGTCAAATTGATGGAAGGAGTAGTTCAAAATCTTAATATAACATTTTATTGCTTTATATTCTATACTTTACTTGGGACTTCAACATAATGTGGTGAAAAATCTCATTTTAAAGGACAAAATAAGTACTATGAATAACTTTTATACTATTAAAAGGGAATTGTATTTTACCCCCCATAAACAGCTCTCATATCCATGATGTTTCTAACGCTAGACCAGTTGATGCCCAACCCGCTCATGTATGACTTGCTGATTACATGTTTCCAGTGCTCATAATCAGCCGCAAAGTCATCTGGAGCTGGTTTTCCATATATACCCATCTGAGATCTATTTAACCAATATGGCGGCATTTGAAGTCTCTCCGGCCACTGTTTAGGCCATTTTGATCCTCTATCCTTCTCGTCCGTTGAGATTTTGTGCATGCATGCTTGTAAAGGTACATACCTGGAAATCAAAAGTATGTTCTTGATGATTAGCATATTTGATTAAATAAATCTTGAAGATTTGTGGCCACTTGAAGTGTTGATCATCAAAATTAGGCGATATCGGGGTTTTAAATTGGGATTGCAATTGCAATTGTGGTTGTAGCCATTGTGGGTGCGGCTTTTGCGGCTGCTGCGATGCGTAATACTATCAGATATTGAGAAATGGGAAACCAACAAGGGCGTTGGTAGACACGGGCGCGATGCACAACTTCGTAAACGAGGAGGAGGCCAAGAGCACTACAATAAAATTCATTTATAGAGGCAACTCATTGAGGCAACTTATATATTATTGCCTCTAAAAATATACTTTTGCATCAAATGGATCATGGTTGCCTCTAATTTAGAATATTTGAGGCAACCTTAATATATTTGCTTCTAAAAGGTGCTATTTAGAGGCGCACACTTATGGTTGCCTCTAAAAAGTTCTATTTGGAGACACATTTTTATGGTTGTCTCTAAAAGGAGCTATTTGGAGACACACTTTTATGGTTGCCTCTAAAAAGAACTATTTGGAGGCACACTTTTATAATTGCCTCTAAAAGGTGCTATTTGGATGCACACATTTATGATTGCCTGTAAAAACATTTATACTATTATAATTGTTTCTAAAGCATATTCTCATAAAGGTCAACATGTTTAAAAGCAAAATTTATACCAAGTATTTAACACGATGGTAATTATTTTTATAATTACAGTTACAATTGTAATTGTTTTTATAAATTATTATTATAGTTATAATTAGAGTTTTGAAAACAACAACAACAACATTAAACTCAATCATGTCAGAAATATTAAATCAAAATAGTATGATTCAGATCATATCATAATCATTCGGATTAGATCATACGAGATAAAAAATATTCAAATCTGATCAGAAAAATTCTGATCAGAAAGATTTTAATCAGATTAAGAAGATTCAGATTAGATTAGATCAGATTAGGAAGATTCAGACCAACACAGATCAAAAATATTTAAATCAGATCATATAGGATCAGAAAGACTCTGATCAGTTCAAAAAGAACCAAATTAGATCAGATGAAAAAGATTTATATAAAAAAAATCACATATTAAAAATTTCAAATCAGAAAATTTTAAATTAGGAGAACGGAACACAGTTTCTAAGTTTTTTTTTCTTTTGGAAGAGAAGAGTTTCCAAGCAATTAATTTAAAAATACTCCGTATAACCTTAATTACTCGGTATAACCTACGGACTATTTTGGAGTTAATTTAAAAATGCTCCGTATTAGCGAACAACGAGCGACACAGTGTTGTTCGACACAGTAGACCACTAGACCTACTTCCTACGCTTCAGCCGTTCATTCTCCATGGCATCCAAAACCCAGATCTCGTTTTTACCTCTGAAGGACCGCCGAACTACGGAAGCACGCCAGATTAGCTGAATCGCCGCAAACACCATCGACCTTGACAAAAGCAAGTAATCTTACTAAGAGCGGCTAATATGGAGCGGAATCTCCGTCGCCATCGTCCTGTAGACTCCAACCATGTGCGGCTCCACCTTGGCGATGGCAGAATCTCTGGCCGCCGATTGGAAACTGCAATTTACTACCACGTAATTGGAGTACGACCTCAATGACGATGCTTGTTGTTCGTGAGCGACGCAGGGCAGCATATCGCGATGGAGTGCGCCGACGGGTGATGGGGCGCGTAGCCTACTCTCCACACGACTGTGACCAGTGGTCGTACAAGCGTAATCAACCATATATGATGTAGGGGAGCTCTTGCTTTGAATAATATCAGACCAGGTTGGGGTTTTATTTCTTTACTACTAATTCTAGATCTTTCTGTGATACGGATACCTAGAGAAATATTGTCATTGAAAGCAAGCATTTCTCCTTCAATACATCTTCCTCTTTAATCGGCATTAGAGAGAGTAAACATGGATTAGTTTTTGTTATTGATTTTGATTTTGATTATGCCATTTGATTGAGCAAA